AAAATATTAAATTCTGTGAAATTATGCGGTGACTAACACAAATAATGTAATTAGATGCATTTAAGGAAAATTCTGCGGCGTTATGTGAATCACAGAAAATCATTGTCCCTGGTTAAGGGTCAGAAAAAAAAACAATTCGACAAATAAATCACGTTGTGATAGGTTTCGTTATATCTTGAAGTTTATGACTAACAATGCGTTAATATTGTATTCTTTTACTTCTATTTAGTTACAATTTATCCAAACCTTCTAGCTTTCACAATTATATAAAAAGGGGGAATGTAGAAAGTGTAACATAAACTAGATTTCGTAATAGTGAAATTATTCCATTAAAAATTTTACTATTTTGTATTTTTGAAGGAGTTCAAATAATTTTCCTAGCACAATACCCCATTTTAACTTAATAAAAGAAAGCCTCTTTATAATCGTAATCATGTCAAACTATTTTTCATAAATATGGAAAATATGTTATAATGCTAAAAAAAATGCTATTGATTGCATCACAATTCGTGTATCAGGCGAATAGCAATTAAAAGCTCTGTGTGACTTTATTATACTTTTGCCTTTAGGTTTCAAGTGCATTTATCGGTGATTAATAAGTGATGTATAAACTTTCTAAAGCCAAATTCAAATTAGCATATGTGATGTCTCACAATACCCACACCACGCGGAAAAGATTGTTATCAGGTAAATCACTCATTTTTTTTTTGATTTAACGATAGATAGAATTGATGATGATTCTGATTAGTAGAGCTGATGGATATGGTGCTAACGCAAAAATGTTTCAGGCTTCAAGAGATTAGTACATTTGCTTAGGTGATAGGATCAACTGGTTTGGTTGGATTAGTACAAACGAAATTCATTCATGGCAGCTGGTTGTAATTGGTTACGATGTTCTAAATAATATTCCGCTTTACAAATCCCTACGTATTTCTTAAAAATGATATTTCAGCCAAATACCAGAATTACAGAGATCGGAATGATTGGTTTTTTTTCTTTAAAATACAATTTAGCTAAAAAGCATTGATCTTGTTTTTCGTAGCAATAGCTGTATTTATACGATTTGAAAATTTAAATATTGTTTATCTCGCCACTATTAATTTTTTACAAATTAAAACAATACTACTTATAATCCCGTGCTTGCTGTTTGATAAAATTATTAGGATCGTCTCTATGAAAGAATTCTATATATTTTTCATGTTCTCCTTGTACTTCGGTTGCAAATCCATATTGTGGGTAATAAACGGCAAGTTCTAATCCAATTGGATGACCTAAAGTTTTAAAAAAAAAAATGGACGACGTATCTTAGATGGCGGTCCAAGATATTTTGACATAATCTCTTGACACAATCTTTCATGTTTATATTTAGAGCAATATGGATACCATGTATTATCATTTTTACATGAGAAAGGGTAGCATACCATTGATGGTTTTTATTGCATCTCCAGAGTAACTAATTCTTGCAATCAATATAAGAATTTGAAATTTATAAATTAAATCTAACATATTTATTTAATTAAATTAAATATTAATTTATTATAAACTTTTAATTACATAATTAATTTTTTTTAACTATTATATAATTAAATATTAAATAAATAGATACTTCGTTACCTCCATCAGAAAATGATGATGCTGACAGTACTAATGAAGATAGTGATGATAATATTAATAAAATTAATAATAATAATGATAAGAGAATGATAAAGAAGATGAAGAGAATGACAAAGAAGATGAAGGGGATGATAAAGAAGATGAAGAGGATAAGATAATAAAGAAGATGAAGAGGATGATAAAGAAAATGAAGAGGATGATAAAAAGAATGATAAAGAGGATGAAGAGTATTATAAAGAGGATGAAGAGGATGATGAAAAGGATATAAATTATGATAATATTAGTATTCAAAGTGTTAAAACAATAAAATCAACACAAATTCATATGAAAATAATGGATCACCTTCAAATTCTCGATATTCAGCTTTTGTTGATATTACAAATACTATTTTAGGGGCTACAACTACAGGACATGAAATATTAAGAGAAGCTGCTTGCTGAGATCTTCAAATTTATACTAATAAAATGGCAAATCAAATAAATAAGGGAAGGAAACGGCCAAATGAAGATGCAATAAGAGATTTAGTAAGAATTGTAATTCCAAAGATAGACTGTGCTGGTGTTGATCATCCTACACTTCCTTATAAAATTATGAAAGTAACTGAGAATAACCAATATATTTTAGGATCAAAACATGGTATTATTAATATATATTATTAATTGAACTTCTTGGTACAAAGGATTTTGCTGAACTCAATAATATACCTTCTAATAAAGTTTCTGTTAGAAAAGCTACACATTTCCAAAGTACTGGTACAGTTACAGGAATTATTTGTAATTGTAAAAGCAACTGTAATAGCAAGAAATGTCATTGCAAAAATCAGGAAAAAATTGTGGAAGTAGGTGTCATAGTGGGTACTCGTGTCAAAACAAATAATTTTTTTATACTTGTATTACAATATAAATGTATCACAAAGTTAAATAAAGTATATTTGGTATATGCTGTTTATTGTTACATGTTAAATTAAAAATTACACCAAAAAAAAGGTTAAAAAAAATTTGCGTCAGATGATAACTGACATAAGTCAGATGACAACTAACGTGTTTCATATTTTAATTGACAGGTTACGCACGTCAGATACCAATTGATAAATGAGGTGCGTCATCTGTCATCTGACACAAAATGATAGATGACGCATAACATATATGTGTTATATGTTTAAAGAAGATTTATACCAAAAATTTTATTATGTCAATCATAATAAAATTTTTTGTCTTAAATTTTTTGTGACATTTTTTCTGACTAATATGTATAATATTATAATTATAAATTATTATATGGTAAAAAAAGGGAAAATCCAAAATTTTTGTTAATTTTAATTATTAAGCTACTTTTGTACACATAACTGAGATTAGCTAAATAGTTCAATAATATAAATTTTGACCAAAATTTGGATTTTTTCCTTTTCTACTAACTGCCTTCTATATAATTAATAAATTTCATTTGCATTACTTTTAATTATTAACCTTTATAAATATAAATTATAAAAAAATGTAATGCTAGAAATATTAGATTTCTTCATTCCAGTCATATGTGTATTGAACATGTAACTTTACATCTATTACATGACTCTATATAAATCCCTGATATGCTTGTAATTGAATCAAATAAAAAGAATATAATATGTAATAGTTATTTTACGAGAACCTATAGATATCAATGAATTTCATAACACAGCTATAAAAATCATGATATTCATAGAAATTTCTATAAAATAACTGTTTTAAATCACGATTCTTTATATCGTCATATGCATATAATACAACTAACTTTTTTATTTATGAATAAACTTTTTGATCATTTTTTTTTAACATTATCCTTTTTTTTCTTACTTAAACTTTTTAATCATTTTTTTTTTTACTTTAACTTTCTTTTATTTCACCTTTTTTATTTTTCCTTCTCTTTTATTTTAATTTGAATAAAAAATATAGTAGAATTTATTTTACAATAAATATGTCCTTTTCAAGTTTTCAAATAATAGTTAGTATAATTTCTAATGATTTTATTTCAAATAATGTTCAAGATATTAATCAAGAAAAAGCTTCCTATTATTGTGAAAAAGCAAAAGTAAAAAATACTAAAAACTATACTAAAAGCTGAACTATGAAATTTGAAGAATTTCGTAATAATGCCAGTTATTTATTCTTTTGACTGAATTTAATAATATATCGCAATTTCAAAAACAAATTGTTGAATTTATCTCTATAATAAAAATAAAGATGACAATGAATATAAAGTATTAATTAAGCAAACTGTTGATATATTTAATAGATATCTTCTTTATTATTCATCTATTTTACATATTAATTTGTATGATAAATATCTGTTTTCTGATTTAAATGATGTTTTATATGATAAATTACGTAATCTGCAAGATTTGGCAAAAAATCCAATTCAATAGCAATTAATTCTCAACAAATCTAACAAATTTTATAACATTCTAAAGTTAATTCAAATAATTCTGAAAAACTCTTATCTCGTATTTTTTTTCATTTATTTATAATACTAACTATGTATAGAGTAAAGATGAAAACTGTAATTAATATGTTGCAATTAGTTTTAACTTATATATGTTATAACTTTTAATATTGCAATATATGGGAAGTGGTTAGTAGAAAAGAAGGAAATACAAAATTTTTGTTAATTTTTATTATTAAGCTAAATTTGTGTATATGACTGAGATCAGTCAAGTAATCTAATAATATAAATTTGACCAAAATTTAGATTTCCCATTTTTCTACTGACCACCTCTCATATGTTGTAATTAATTTTAGCTTATGTTACAATAATTTGCAAATTTGAAATCAATTGCTGTACCTAAAAATTGATCAATTTAAAACTGATGGATGCAATGGTTTACAATTCTTTTATTATATATACAAGAATAATCAATGCAGAATTCAAGGAGAAGAGGCTCATATTATTTCAATACCTAGTGATGATAATGGTTTATGTTCAGATATTCAATTTTATTTATCTAAACGCTATCTTCAGCTAATGAATATTTTTATTTGCAACCTAATCTATTATGGTCAGAAACTGGTATTTAGTATAAAAAAAACTCATATTGGAAAAATAGTTTAAGTAAATTTATGCAAAAAATTGGTTGTAAAATTCAAATTAATATTCCTATTAGATTATTTTCTAATCATTCTGGATGAAAAACTGCTACACAAATTTTACAAGATTAAGAAATTTCTGAACAAGCTATTATGTAACATACTGGTCATAAAAGTGTTTAGGGAGTTCAGACTTTAAAAAAATAATGAAAACCAACATTTTAATACTTTAAATACATATTAATACATTGATTAATATTAAAAATGCCAAATTATCTTCTGAACAAAGAATTCATTTATTCAAAATAATATTAATATTAATAAAGATCATTTAATATCACAAACACCTCTTCAAGAAATTCCTTTAAATTCAAATCCTTTAGATGGATTACCAATATTTAATAATTGTACTTTTTCGAATGTATCCAAAAATAAGTTATTAAAATTATTTTATGTATGTAATGTTATTAATAATTAAATATAATAATAATTTTAATATTATTAAATTCACTTTATGATATGATTGGTCAATTATACCGTGAAAATATCAGTAAAAAAATTACGGACATTGATTAGGAACCGTGGTATAATTTATTATAATATACTGGTATAAATTACTATAAATTGCTTTAAAGTGCTAAAACTATGTGGTTATTAATCAGATTGTAAAAATGAATAAAATAGAAAAATAATATGATGATTTATTTATAAGAGGTGCTTTGCAAAAATTACTTTCTAAGCAAGAATATAGTATATATCATGTGTACTGCCTTTTCGCATCATTTGGGCAAGTATATTAATGGTGAGTTAAAAGTTGACCATTTTAGCTATCATAGACCTAGTGTCCATAAAAGTCAAATGGCTATCTGCTTTAAATGCCGAATATTGGTAAAGATTACCAAAGTAAAGCCAAGAAAAGTATATTATAATGGATGGGGCAGATGGGGCTATAAGGTTGAGTCTAAAAACTTGATGAAGAATCATTGGGATTGCTCATGCTTCAAAGATGAGACTGAAGATGATTCACGTCTATCAACCCTAAAAGAACATTCGTGGCTCCACTTTAATCGGCTTACATTTTGAATAAAACTACCATCGATCATTTTTTTTGCTGCGCTTATTCCGTATCCAAGTTTTTACCAAAAACTTTTCATGATACAAGCAAATAAAATTTTCTAGTATCAGGAATTAAACATCACTGATGAATTTACTAAAAGGATTTTAAATTAAAAATTAATATCATGATTTTTATTTTATTTTATTAATATGAATAAGACAGATCGAATTAAAGATTTACTAATATAAGTAGACAAAAAATAATTGGATCCACCTGATTTCATTGTCTAATTTTGTAGAATAAAGGAAATCCTTCATGAAAATATCCCATGGACTGTTTAAATCAATATTAAAATATTAAGATCGATTGCTTGTGAGTTATATCAGAAAAAAAAAATCGGATGTAAATTGGAATTCTTTGGTATGGGGAATAGATCAACAAGGGGGTTAAGATAAAGTTATAATTAAGGGCGTTTCCGAAGGTTACATTATTATCATAATATATTTACAAAAATTACAAACAATTGTAAATCGATGATATCCTCAAATTTAGATACTATTCATGAGTTCTCCGAACGTCTTTTACTACTAGTAACAGATACGACAAAAGACTCAGTGAGACATTTACTAATTCTTTCACACAATCCCATTTTTTTTCGATTTTTTCGATTTCTACCATTTTTTTTTTCAGTATCACACATCTAGTGGTTAGTTATTATGTGGCTTATTTTTTTTTTTAAATACTTTATTTTTCACAATAAGAATTGATTCTCACAATTTTTTATTTTATCTAAAGTAGTTTTATTTTAGCACCAATAAGGCTTGGTTTTTGATAAAATCATATCTCTATAATCTGATTCCGATTATTCCACCCTAAAAAGCTTATCAGCACATGCCTGTAAAGGTTGGAGCAATATCTTTTTTTGTTCAAATGAAATTTAAAATGAATACACTTATTATTATAATTATTTATTGTGTTCGTTTAACGTGACTTTAAACAAAATATTATTCTTTTTATAGAATTTTTTATGTAAAAACGGAATAAAACCAAATCTAATTTTTTTTGGTAATACAAATTAAATTAGTAGCAAGGGTTAAAAAAAATGTTTCGGAAAATCCTTTTTAAAAATCAATAACTTTCATTATTAACGTTGTTTTTTTTTAAAAAAAAAAAATTAAAAAATTAATAAATAAAAACAAGAAAAAATAAAAAGTAAAGGAACTTTTTTGTTTTTCTTTTCTTTTTTTTTTTTTTAATGACATTTGATAATTTACGAATAATAGATGTATTATGTCATTCATTTATAACAAAGGTCTTTTTAACAATTTAAGTAGTTTTAATTTATGCATGCAAGAATAAAACTCGTATCTTATATTTGATGACAACAAACATTTCACTTTTATTTAAAAACAAAATATATATATATATATATTTTTTTTTTTTTAAAAAAAATTTTTTTACGAAAGTTTTCCTATAATTTTTTTTTTCATATAAACGAGAAAAAAAAATCTATTCAAAAATCATAATGGCAGCTGTTCAATCAAGATTACCGGCACCATCACATAAAATAGTTGGGAAAAATACTATCAAACCAACCGGTACAACAAAACTTCGAAAACCAACACTCATTTCTACTTCATTAATTGCGCCTTCTTTGAAACAAGCAAACAAACAAGTACAAGAACAAAGAAAAGAAAATCTTCCATCGAGTGCACCTGCGTTAAAAACGAAATCATCTCCAATTACCGTTCCTACAAAGAAACCTAATTTTGCTCACGTTAAACCACGGATTGGTTCATTGGATAATGTTACTCATAAACCGAAAGGTGGTGATAAAAAGATTTATTCCGAAAGATCAAACTTTTCTAATGTAAAATCACGTATTGGTTCATTGGAGAATGTCAATCATACACCGAAAGGAGGAGATTTGAAGATAGTTTCCGTGAAGTCGGATTTTTCAAAGGTGAAGTCACGTGTTGGATCATTAGACAACATCAATCACTTACCAAAAGGTGGGGATAAAAAATTGATTTCATTCCAATTGTCTTTTTGTTTCTTCTTGTCCAGTTCAATCACTGATTAATGTTAATAATGTACCACAAGGTGGTAATGTTAAATTGATTTCCAATAAACCGAATTTTAAGCAAGTACATTCTCGTGTCGGTTCCTTTGATAACATTGATCATACTCCAAAAGGTGGTGATAAAATTATCTTTAATGATAAATTAAACTTTACCAACGTAAAATCTCGTGTCGGTTCTTTGGATAATATTCAACATCTTCCAAAAGGTGGTGATGTTAAAATATTTGACGAAAAATTAAAATTTAGAGAATTAGCCAATCCAAAAATAATTAGTCGTTCTTCCACCAATTCTAGCGGTGATTCTTCGATTATCGCTGATGATGATCGATCAAGTCTTGTTAATAGTCCCATATCTTCTCTCGCTTTGGATGATGTTCCTGAAGAGGTTGATGATCCTCCATCACATGAAGAATATCAGACATTATATCTTACACCTCATACACCTCATACGCCTGTTATTGAAGTTATGTCCCCAATTATGGAACGTTTCGAAGAAGAAGGAATACATGAAGATTTATCTCATATCACCGAAATTAGATTTCGTGAACCTTTTCAGGAATCAAACAAATACACCGAATTTTCTTCCGAAACTAATTTCGTTGATAATGGTCAATACTTTTCTGGAAAAGAAACACATTATCAACATGGAATCGTTTATGAAGAAGATTTTGATGAAGAAGCTCATTCTAATTTTCAAAGAGATACTACTTCAATAAGAGGATCCACTATATTTGTTAGTGAGAATCCTTTAAATGATACTGATTTATCTTTTGAAGTTAATGTTCAAAGAAAATCATTTTTATTATCTGAAGCTAATAGAATTTCTATTATTGAAAATATAAATCCTGCTCCATCAAAAGAACTGATTCATGCAGTTGAAATTCCTCCCAAAGATGAAAATGATTGTCATAATCTTGAATTAACTTTAGCTCAACAGCGTATTTATGATGAATCTTGGCTATAATATATATATATTTATTTACAGTATTTTTATTTATATTTATATATGTACATATTTTTATTTTCATTTATACTTTCATTTATACTCATAACAAAAATATTCAAAATTTTTATTTTTATTTTATATTTTTTTATGGAATTATCAAATAATATATGTATTATAATAATAAATAAGAATATTTTCATTAAAAAATATATCCATTACCGCGTCTTTTTAATAATGTTTTAACTTGTTGCATACGTACATTAGTTACATTAGTGTAACGAATAAAATAGTTATCACAAGATAAGACGCAGTCGTTTTGAAATAGTCGTGTTTTTTGATGTCAAGTTTTTATTGTTGACACCTGATCACCAATGTTGAGGTGCAGTAATATTGGTCTGGGTCCTATAAAATTAAAAAACACCAATATATTTACTAATAAACTAGACTGATTCAGAGAGATAATTCAAGAATCTTCGATTATAACGTAGGATTGAATCATTCGGAATAAATGAGAGCTTATAGTAGGTGTTGTATTGTCTTGGGTCATTTTTAAATACTTAAAATTCTTTGTCAAACAAGGGCTAGCAGAATTTCTCGTCTATCCATATTACATACAGAAATGAGAAAAAATAAAAAAATTTTAATCAACAAAGTAAATAAAAAAAGGAAAAGGAACAAAGTGATTTTGAGATAAAAGCCATATAAAATCGAAATACAAAAAGGTTACTTATTTACCACCACTGAGATATGTTTTAACGATGTCTTTGTTTAGAAACAAGCGTGACAACTCTTGCACTCAATACCTAAATTACAAATATTTATGGAATAAAAGATGTTATAGTTGCTGAAAAAGGCATGACAATTCACTTTCAAAATATCTTTCAAGAGAATTCAGAATATAATTCGTTTGAAAATTTTTCGTATATTGCTTATACTGAACAAATCTCGGATTCTATTAAAACCTTTAACAAGTTACGTTCCAAACTATAATTGGCAGCTACTCTAAAGATTTTTTATTACAAGTTCTCTCTTTTCTTTTTTAAAAAAAAAAAGATATTAATTTATTATGTTTATTAAATATATATATTCTTTTATTAAGATATTACATCTTTCAAGACTTGGATTTAAAGAGGGCGGCATTACTAAAAAATATCCTTCGCTTGATTAATAACGTAATAGATCCATTAATATTAATTTGCGGAAAATTAGACGGTAAATTAAGCATGTATCAACTAAGTCACAATATAGAATATGCCAAGTTTTAAGGATTTCAAAAATCTATTTCGGATATTAACGAGATCGAGGTTAGGGAAGGAATCACAAAGTCAATTGAGGAATGTACGGAATAATATTCCATTATAAGAACGAATTCATCTACTGCTTTAGATTCCTTCAATTAATATACTCTACTGTCGGAAATATAACAATCGTCTGAAGAGCGAAATCGAAATTTCATAGTAATTTATTATATAAAAATCCCAAACAATCCCTCTTTTCTCACCACCCGCTATAATATATAAAGGATTACCACTCATAGACTATAATGGTAAAAATCGACCCTTATCGAAACGTATCTATTATAAAAAAAAAAATATGTAAAAGTTAGCAGGGAGTGACACACTCGCATTCCATGTCTAGGGAAACAAATTCCTTTAAGCGACTATTCCTTGAGCCTCGCTATGCTAACAATCTTATAAACTGTTTCATTAAAACTTTGGTAAAACAGGGAGCGCAGTTTACCTCGTTAAAAATATTTGTCAGCCTATAAGCCATCATCTTCCTCCACAAGAGGGATCACAAGAGTTATTGCAACAAACAAATGAATTCTATTCTTATTTATATTAAAAAAGTGAAAAATTTGAAATTGTGGGATTCAAAGATTTTCATGATAAATACTAATTATGGAAATATATGGTTGATCTATCCGTAACGTGATTTGAATAATTAATAGCCCCCCAACTACTTATTTATATATATATTTTTAGTCCTTTATAATTTTTTTTTAAACCTTCAAAATTTTCACATATAAGATCTGGTAAAAATCTAACCCCATTAATTTCCAAAAAGTTGTCACTATCAAAGCTTTTGATGAGTTTATTATCTTTCGAAACATTTTGCCAACTATCGAAGCTTTCGCGGTTTTGACTTTAAAAAAAAAATTTTGCCAAATCGCAACCTTAACTTGACAATTATTATTAGCAATGCATTTGATTGGTGGATTTTGCTACGAATCCGATTAAAAATGTTGAAATTGCTTCGTGAGTATCAAGTTTCAATTTTTGCAGCACTATGAGTACTTAATAAATCTAATGGTAAAATCAAAAAATTTTCTCAAACCTTTTCGTTATGCCTTTTTATCAGAAACCATATTAGGATTTGAAGTAATATAAGTAAATTTAATCAATAGTAACCGGGGAAATGTCTGTCTTTTTACGATGGAAAGTCATAGTCGGGTTTTCAACGATTCACTTTAGGATTTGATGCAACTAGCTCAGCATGACCGTGCGACAATGAAAGATATTATATTTATCATTTTTTGATTTTTATAGGCTTAATGATGACAGTGCATATATATGTCGTGTTCAAGGTAGCGAACTGCCAACAGCGTTAACTATTCTGATGCAGTCTTTAATATCAAAGTAATATTTAGTTTTTACTTAATGACGAGCAACTTTTGCATTGACACACACTTAATATTTTAGATTTCCGTGCAGGAAACTATGAATCAAAGACTCAAGGTACTGTTACCTTTAGGCAAGCTGACAAACCAAAGCGTCCACAAATTCACAATAAAATACCTGTGTATTTTACTATGCCAAAAAAGCTCAACGGTCAATGTGAACTTACAATGAAATATCACGCATTCTTTTTCGTAACCTATTATAGTTCGAAGTTGCTTTATCAATAATAAAGTTTTTAATCCAATCATACTTTTGATTTTTAGAGAACGCCGCCATGTATAATAGAAAATTTTTTCTTCGGTAAAATTGATCTGCATATTTTTTTAACTATGATTAATGATCAAACTGAATCCTTGTTATTTTTTTTTTATAATAATCTTGATAATAAATCGTTAAATTGTTATAAATAATTAAGTTTTTGTTAAACCCGTTAATGATTGTCCTAGAAATGATATCAAATATGCCAATTACCCTGCCAGTCAAGCTTTATTTTTTGGGGGGATCGGTATATATTATATATTAATAGTCATATTTTTAATAAATACTCTGGTAACCGTGTTTATTTATTTTGCATCGAATTAAGACGATTTTGGCAATAAAAACATAAAATGATCAATTTACCGATATTGTTTTTAGTATTGATCATTTCATTTTTTTTACTATGCCATTCAATATTTTTAAATGAGAACTAGCCAGTATTAGTGGCTTAGAAACCACCCCTTCATGTGATAAATAATATTCTATCATTTTCTTTTCATGAAGTCTTTTATTATCTTAAACATTTTCAACAATTACGTAATAGGTTTTGAAGTAATCAAAAACCAACTTACATAGCATTTTGATATTTACGATTTATACGAATGTCTTATTTAGTATTAAATTTTTTCTAATAATAATATTTCGATAAGTTAAAATAAAAAGCTAAAAAAATTAATATTTTTTTTTTTTGCTTTGGATAGAATAAAAATAAAATAAAACATTGAATCGGAACTCACCTAAGTACCAATATCGTAAGAGAATTTGCGACCTTTCGTAGGTATCTAATTTTTTTTTTTAGATACTACACCCCACCAAGAATGGAAAATTAAATAAAAAAAAATAAATTATATTAATATTTTTTTTTTTTGCATTTGATATAGTAAAAAAAAGCTAAAAAATTATAATATTAAATGAAACTCACCAAAATGAAGAGCGGGATTAAGTCAGCACCTTAGAGAATACTTCTATTTGAAGTAACTTTCGGTATCGGATCAAAGGGAGAAGGTATCTAATATTTTTTTTTTTTTTAGATACTATGCCCCCAAAAAATTACTTTCCTCTATGAAAATATATATATGAGTGAGTGAAATGCAAAGGTCTCGTGGAAGTTCCCAAGTTGCGAATGAAAATATAAGGGTTAACTTCTTTTGTAACAAAACGAAAGTCTTGTTATATTGTTAACGTAATCATTTCTATTTACAAATAAAATAAAATAATTTTTTTTTTATATAGTCTATCTAATTCGAGGGGTGTCAATTAGCTATTTTTATTTGCCTATCATTGACTTCACGAGTAACTATTATGATCATCTACTAATATAAAAAATCGTCATACCCGAATTAGGAACCTGTTCAATTCTGATAGTTGATGCATAAGTTGAGGATACATAACTTTAATTGGCTGAAAAGGATACATAAATTCATTCATATTATGCATCTACCGATGTAAAATGCACCTAGTATCGCCACAAGATTTTTCATCCCCGCGTGATTTACGATATTTGTCACCCCATGTCACACCCTCCACTTTTCCATTTTTATTAAGTATTCTGGGAGTACAATCATATTTGTCACGCATTATTTGTCACATGGATAATTTACTAATGCCGTAATGCCGGCCAAAGTCACGTGGGGGTGAAAAATCTTGTGGCGATACTGGGTTAAATGTAAAATGCATGACTTCACGTGTCACTTTCAGCAATCATGCTAAAATATATTTTAAAAAAAATACATTGTAGAGCAAAATTAAAATTAACGAAAATAATATTCACAAGGAATATATTTGTCATCTTACATAGAACGTGAATACATAGTATTTTTTTATAGTTAATATTGAACTGATTTTTCACCTAATACTTATCGTTAACGTGAAATAAATCATTTGACTAAACAAATTTTGAGTATTATTTCGAATTTACATTTTTGGGCCTTTAAATTTAATATATCGAAAAGTTTATTACTTGAAGTTAATTTGTTCACTAATTTAATATTTAGTAGTTTTAGTAGTTACACAAATCATTTATCTATTCGAATAGAAAGCAAAGCATGTGGCAAAAAGATTTAGATTTCTTGAACCATTTAAGACAAAAATAATATATGTTATGTGAATACATGTGAACAAAACAACACACAACTTTCTATTCATCCATTCATTCATTCAAGAATTTTATTCTTCGTGTCATTACTTAATTATTTATTTTATTGTTAACCATTCTAGACATTCGTTTATTTAAATTTCTTGAATAATTCATATATAAATTATACTATCAAACTATCAACAATTACTAGAATGATATCGTTCAATATCGAAATCAATTATCAAAACAAATTTTTATTTCAATCTATAAAGGAATGACACATTTAGGATGTTCATTTTGATAACAGTCTTTGAATTACTTTCATCATCATAGATTTTTATATATCAATAAATCCATCCCTCCCTCTCAAAAAAATATATATAGTATATATTTTTTGCCAAGTTTTCTTTTTTTTTAATAAAAAAATAAAATAAATGATATGGGAACGTTTCCAGTAAAATCAAGTCATGTGGCATAGTAAATCATATGATCCGTAATGTGATTTTACTGGAAACGCTCCCATATGATATTATATGAAATAATTGAATTATAAATCATATCATGTATCCCTTTTAAATCCTTTTACATGATTCCTTCATAAATATTTACCCTATGACAAATCATCAATATAATGTATTTACTTCATAAAAAATGAAGGGTCAAATGGGTCAAATACCAAAATGTATAGAAATGATGACAGATGATGGTTGGGTTCAATTTCGGTTCTTCAACGGCTCCTCTTCAAATTATATGACAAATTGAATATTGGCCATAAAAGGAAGATAATCAATTATTGAAATCCTCTGGTATTTCTTTATATATCATTTTGTATGTGGGTTAATTAAAAAAACGGTGTTTCTTTGAACATGTCTATTTATTTAGCTATAATTGGCACGTATCACAAGTTTATATTTAAGTTGTAGGGTATTTATCATGGGGCATTCATTAAATTTACTACTACGATTTGAATATTGATAAAATACCCAGGTCTTTATCAATTTACCTGATTTCTAAATTCAATTAATTATAGTAACAAGGGGATCTTTTAAGCAGCGTTATACGTTTTAAAGAGCCGAACTAATTATAATCCAATTGGTGGAAAGAGCGAAACCGATTCATAATACGGTATCTTTCAATTCTAGTTAGTTCTTTTCCATCTGAACGTCTCTTTTCTGATCAAAGAAGTCAGTTATACCTCTAAATAGTACTATCACGAGTGTTGTTGATGATCCGATCCATCCGATCAGGTCTTTAGCGTGGATTAAGACCGAAGGCGAACTTAAGATCGGATTTTTAGACCGATCTTTAGACCGATTTTATCTCAATATTTAATAACTTGATAGTAGAAATTATTTCAATATCTTGAGGTAACAGAACCAATTTTCGCATTTCAATCAGAATTACAACATTTTGTTAAAGTACAAAGAGCTACAATGATCATAAACATAAAACAACAAATCTAATAAATTTTCCTAAATTCGATGCGAATACCTCTTTTAACGTGTAAATTAAAAAATTTTACAAAACTTGATTAAAAGATAATTATCTATTTCTAAAGTTTTTGTTATCGTGACGACCGATTCAATCCCAACCTCGGACATATGATCGGATCGCGTTCGTTAAACATCCCTATTTATCACGTGATAATATTGATAAGGCCACAATTCCAATGTCGTACATATCATTTGAAATTCATTTATAATATACTTTCCAAAAGTTTTCGAAAGGATTACTTTCTCAATCATGCATAACTTTGGATCATTTACGCGTCTCTTAAATTGTCCATCAATTTCACGATTTTCACATATAACTACTTTGAAACAAATTATAAACAAAAATATTTTAAAGCCAGTCATTATTACTCAACCTCGTAGACATGCTTCAGGAATAACTAAAGAAGAAAAAATTTTAGCCCGTGTCGAAGAAATGCGTGCCCAAGCTCACCTTGGTGGTGGTCTTAAACGTATTCAAGCTCAACACAATAAGGTAATTATTTATATAATGAAGCTAATTATTTTAATTTTGTGATATATCGGAGGTCTTCACAAAATTGTGATTGATTGGAATTATTTTTAATCTTTCACAATAAACGAGCTTAATCTCTAGCTGATCATGAGTTTACGAATCAAGATTAAAAATATGAATAAATCTCTAATCTCAATCATAAGTCCTTATTGATTAATCTTTTATATAAAAATTAGGGAAAATTAACCGCACGGGAACGTGTTGAATTGTTACTAGATCCCGGTTCTCTTATTGAATATGATACATTTGTAGAACATCAATGTACAGATTTTGGTATGGATAAGAATAAAATTATAGGTGATGGTGTAATAACAGGACATGGTACCATAAATGGTCGAAGGATATTTGTGTTTTCACAAGATTTTACTACATTCGGTGGTAGTTTATCAAAAATGCATGCACTAAAAATTTGTAAGGTTATGGACAAAGCTATGTTAGTCGGTGCCCCTGTTGTTGGTTTAAATGATTCTGGCGGTGCTCGTATACAAGAAGGTGTTGATTCTCTTGCTGGATATGCTGAAATTTTTCAAAGAAACGTTTTATCTTCCGGCGTTGTACCTCAAATATCTTTAATTATGGGTCCATGTGCAGGTGAATATTAAAATTTTGTACTTTTTTCACTTTAAGGAACATAAAGACTTTTATTCATGTATTTATTTATTTATTTTGATAGGTGGTGCCGTATATTCACCGGCTCTTACGGATTTCACCTTTATGGTTCGTGATACTTCTTATCTATTCGTTACGGGACCTGATGTCGTAAAAGCTGTTTGTAATGAAGACGTAACGCAAGAAGAACTCGGTGGTGCAAAAGCACATACTGTCTTGTCTGGTGCGTATAATGGATAGATAAAAATAAATAAAAAAAATTCAACTCGAAAATGACATGACGCGACCCGACCACTTATATATTTATTTAAACGCATATAAAGGTGTCGCGCATGCTGCTTTCGAGAACGACATCGAAGCTATCCAAAGGTATTTCATTAACAACTTTTACCTGTAAACATTTTCTCTTTGCTAATTTTCTACCCTTTTTTTTAATATAATTTAAATAGAACTCGTGATTTTATAGATTACTTGCCATTGTCAAATAGGGAAAAGGCACCAGTACGTTTTACGGATGATTCACCAACTCGAGAAGATCTATCATTAAATCATATCATACCTGCAGATTCAACAAAAGCATATGATATGAGAGATGTAATAACAAGATTAATCGATGATGGAATTTTTTTTGAAATAATGCCAGATTATGCAAAAAATATTGTAATAGGATTTGCCAGAATGGCAGGTAGAACGGTATCGATAGTTGGCAATCAACCCTTAGTATCATCAGGAGTATTAGATATTAATAGTAGTGTTAAAGCTGCTAGATTTGTCAGATTTTGTGATTCTTTTAATATACCTATTATTACTTTAGTTGATGTACCTGGTTTCCTTCCCGGTACTGCTCAAGAACATAATGGCATTATTAGACATGGTGCAAAATTACTTTACGCTTATGCTGAAGCTACTGTACCTAAAATCACTGTCATTACGAGAAAAGCCTATGGCGGTGCTTATGATGTTATGTCAAGCAAACATCTTCGTGGTGACGTAAGTATATATTTATTGAAATTATTTACATTGGGAAGGGATCTAAATTGATTTATTTTAAAATTAATTATTTTAGATAAATTATTCTTGGCCGACTGGTGAAATCGCTGTTATGGGTGCAAAAGGAGCCGTTGAAATCATTTTCCGTCATGTTGAAGATAGAACTCAAGCCGAAAACGAATATATTGGTACATTCATTCATTCGATTATTTAATGTCATTAATTTTTTTTTAAAAAAAAGATAATAATAAATTTGTATCAAATTTAATTAATTTAATCGTCGCTATTGACCTAACAGAAAAGGTAATAAGTTATTTTATTTTATTTTTTATTTTTTAAAAAATCAAAAAAAAAATTTGTTTGATCTAATAATATTTAATCTATTGTAATAGTTTGCTAATCCTGTACCAGCAGCACAAAGAGGGTAAGAATATTTAAAAAATACATTTTTTTTCTACTACATTTCATCTAATCCTAACCCACCCCCTCTCTTTGCTTTTTAATATATTTTAGTTTCATTGACGACATTATTTTACCTTCTGTAACAAGAAAAAGAATTATTGAAGATTTAGTAGTATTAGAAAATAAACAATTACCAATTATTTATAAAAAGCACGATAATTGTCCTTTATAAATTCAATCTATTCATTATTTATTTAACCACCCATACTTATTGTCTCTTTAAATGTATGCTTAGGAATGTATTATTATTTTAAGTTGATTTTGTATAAATGTAAAAATGTTATTATTAACTAAAATATATTACAAATCTTTTTTCCCTAAAAATAAATATGATATAAATAATAAATAAAATTATTTTGATGGTGATAAAACATCTGGTGTTGTAATTGATAAATCTTCTTTTGCATCAACATGAATATTTTTAATTGCCATTTCTAATTCATCTGAAGGTCCTTGCAATCCTTCTAATGTTGATAATTTTCTTATATAATATTGTGCATCTGTCATTAACCTTTATTTTAAAAATATGTAAATATTTATAAATTCAGTATATCGGTATAAATAATTTTTAAGAACATAACTTTCAAGGGACGCCAAAATTACCTCTTTTTACCAATTGCCGTAGTTATTTTAACGTTACCAATTTCTTCAGCGAGTTTTGTACTAGATGATTTAAATATCTCTGTCATTACATTCTAATTAAAAAAGAAAGTACCAAGATAATTATTATTACGAAATATATTATTTTTCGCTATTTAAAAAAAAAAATTAAAAGATTTACCAACTGACCTGTAAAATTTCTATTGGGAGATATTTATTTAATACTTTATGTAAAGTCGTAGTTTCTTTTACCAATATTTCCATGTATTTATTAGGGGCTTCGTTCGTACTTTCTTCATCCCAATTTATAGCCTTTAATTTTTTTTAACGAGATTAAATATTGAAGTGACGCAGAGTGATAAAAATTTTTACGAAAGGGTACCTGAAATGATTTTAAATGGATAACTAATCGTTCATTCATGATAGACACTAATTTACCATGTATCTCGTTTTGATGATTAATATAATCCTATACATAATAAGCATATAGATATAAAAAAAAAAAAATTATTTTTTTTTAAAATAAATAATATATAAAACTTGAAGAATAAATACTCTTTTGATTCGATCAAATTCAGTTAACATAACAGCTTGTTTGGTATTAAGACTATGCCTTATACATTCACGAATGAATGGGATTAAAGCAATCATAGCTCCAAGTGATTGAGACGCAAGTGCTAATATTAAAAATAAAAAAAATAAATAAATAAAATCACAAATGGTTTATTTTTTTTTTTCCTGCTCGACCCAAGAATCATGGCAAGACTTACCTAAATGTTTTGCAGTAATATTCTTTAATCCGGCAGATCTCATAGCACCAGCTCCCAATATAACTTGACAAGTTCGAGAATTAAATAAATTTAGAATATCGACAACTCTATTCATAGTCTCATTAGTTAATGTAGGTATATTTACCATACATCTTAGATAATCTCCAAGTAATTTAATTAATGTTATACTACATCCAACAACAAAGAACCTTCTTTCTTCAACAAATATGTATCTGCTGCTACCATTATTTGATGGATTAACAGGTGTCGTAATATTCGTAGTACCATTCGTCGAGGTGCTATTATTAATGGTACCATGCTCATCGCCATCATTGCGTGACGACGTTGAAAGACTTGTCATAGGAAAAACCGGCGAGATTGGTGGTGATACGGATTCTAAAGGATCATCTCTAAAATCTGATAATCCTGATACTGCCGCATTAACTATTTTATCTACAATGCGTTGATAATCAATAGGTACAAGTTCTTGGACCCATTGTTCATTTTCAACCAACGCAGCTGCTTGCCTCGTTTTCTCCATATGAAAATGATTCAAAAACGCCTTTGCCTACAAAATAAAAATATATATATATATAATCAAAACGTGACATTACAAATAGAAAATTTAGAAAAAAATATTGTAATTTACTTGTGACATGATAGTTCCACGTAGACCGTAACACATTCGACCACACAAACTTTCACATTCCAACACGAATGCCGAAGTAACATTAAATAATCTATAAAAATCTTTTTGATTCAATTGAGCATTTTGATCAGCCCTTACTGCAATTAAATTAGCACAACGAACGTGTGCCAAATCGGCAGCAGCGTATACAATTTGTGCAGAATCCGATATTGACTGTGAATTATGGTCCTTAGAATCAGATCTAGATTTCTTCGATTTTGTATTAGTTGGTAATGCTATGGCCGTTTCTTTTTCAACAGATTCAACCGATGAAGGAGTAGGTGGTAAAGGTTTATTTGTTAAAGAAGTAGTTTTCTGTATTATTGACTTAATTCCTGTTGTAATCTTAAGCGCGTTGAACCTGGAATTTAATGAACTTGTAGAATTGACAGAACTAGATGATGAATCATTCTTCGAGTTTTCTTCTTTATCAAGCGAACTATTAGGGTTCTTTGATCCATCAAGGGAACTAAGGGAACTATTAGAATCATTTTTTGGTGTAGATGCTTGTTCATCTTTAACATTTGATTCATCATCTGAAATTTTATAATTGTCATTCGTTTCTACATCCCTTAATATTGTGGTAAAAAGTTCATTATAAATCGCGATTCTTTTCAATCCTTCAAGCAAAACAGAATATATGGATAGAAGCATTTGAAGGAAAGCGTCAAAAGTCATTCCTTTTAAGAATTTTAACATGTTCGAACTATGGAAAAAAAAGAAATATATATATATATATATATATATATATATTAAAAAACTACACAATTTTTAAAAATCACACTGAATCTTCGTACCTTTGTTCCTTTGAACCATCTGCCAATTGGTCATCTTTTGATTCATAATGCTAAGAAAATTAAAAAAATAAGTTAAATATTTTTTTGAGAAACTTTTTTTTAGAAAAAAATTTGATTTGATTACATTTTGAATTTGTATTATATTTTTAATTTCTTCTAATATCCTTTCACGATATGCTTGTAAAGTAAATGAAAAACGATTCACTCTATATAATCCTAATACAAGTGGGGTAATTCTTTTTTTTAAATTATCCTCCTTTTCCATTATTTCCGAGTCAATAGTAACATTTATAGATGTGGCGCCGTGTTTTGCTGATAGAGGTATTTTATAATTATAAAGCGATCTTATTGTCTTTGATTTATTTACGGTTTCAACGTGTTCTCCAAAGTCAAGAAACAACATATTTAACAAGTCATTTTCCATCATCACTCCAATAGTTTTATACATTTCAGTGAGTTTGTCACCGAAATGTACAAGTACTCTGACACTTCTTAGATCAATAGTTCCCGATCTTTTAAAACCATCAGCGACATTGCTTAGTCTTCTTACCATCGTAGCTCTATGGTTGATTGATTCTGAATTGTTCGTTTCTCGTTCAACAACATTCTCTGCTGACTGAATCTTTTGACCCTCGTCAACATGTAAAATAATATTTGCCTCGTCTATTAAATCTAATGCAGAAAAATAATCACCCTGTCCTAATAACACCTGTATCATTGGTTGAGTTGATTTAATTTCGGAAACCATTCTTAATCCTTCAAATAGTCTCCCCATGTTGGCGCGGCGTCTTTTTAATCTTATGACCTCAAGTCCTTTCTTAGCTTGTGAATTATCTATTCTATCTAATTTATTTCTTAAATTATTAATTTGTGATATGCATTCTAATGTTTCGGAATGTAAAGCTTGAAGATTTGATAAGGCAGCAAAGAATGACGAAGATCTCAATGAAATTTCTTTAATTAAGTGAACTTCAACTGTATCAAGATAATGTGATAGCTTTTCTTGTAAAATTGCATTTGTTGAAATTGCAGGGTTATTGGGATTACCTTCTATAATATCTGTTTGTTCACAAACTATATCAAATGTTCGAGGATTTTCCAAATTAAAATCGGGATCAAAAAAAATTGAAGGAACTGTCTCCAATAATGGAAGTTCGATAACAGGTTCAGGCGGTCGATCATCTCCAGGTGACGGAGGAGGTAAATGAACCGTATAAGGATTTCGAGTACTAGCAAGTCGATGGACTGGAATTTGACTTCCTACATCCTTTGAGGTTTGTAAGTTCTCAAGGTTATTTGCTAATAAATTTGTTGCGGATGCAGCTGGAGATTCTTCTGTTAGAGATGTTTCAGATTTTCTTGATTGCGAACCTTCAGCATAAAATTCTTTATTATTTCTATACCTCTCAAATACAGGAGTTATTTGTTTTATGTAACTATTAAAATCAGTTGGTTTAATTTTCCTTATGTTAACATGAGGTATTGTTGGAATGTCGTTCTTTGAAGGTCTTACATTGTTAAATGATTTCGCGTTTGGATTATTTAATACTCCGGAGATCGCTAACAATATAATATTTAAATATTTAAATAAGATCATAAATTAAAGAATTCGAATTAACAATTTTTTTTTAAAAAAAAAAAATCCTTCAAAAAAATACCATTGAAACCGATATCCTTCAATGAATAGAATTCATTATAATTTATTAAAAAAAAATAATATAAATAAATATATATAAAATAAATATATTAATTTATATAAAATTTTCTTTGCTACCCTTTTTTTTTTAGCATGATATTTTAAAATTTCCGAAATCCTCAAATCTTACAAATCAATTAGGAAATATCACACAAATTAATACGAATCATCGAATATAGAAAGTACCTTGGTAGTCCAAGGAAGTGAAGTCTCTGACATTGTACTAAAATTCGATATTGATGAATTTATTGAAACACGACGAGTAAGTCCCCGACTATAGCCTCGACCATATAAAGACATGGCAGAGGAAACCCGCTGACTTTTAGGTGTACTAATATAATAATCATTATTGTCAAAGCTACGAGCTGAAGAAGAAGAAAACCGACGAGGAGTTTGTGGTGGAGTGGAACCTGATCCTATAGTTTTTGAGGATTTCGGTGTGGTGGAAGAATCGGAGTGCCCAGCTTCCGAGGACTCGACGTCCGCAGAAGACGACTTGAGATTCCGCTTAACTTCTTCGTCTTTGTTCATTTTTAGGTCACCACAAACACGGATCGCCAAAAAAAAAGAGAGAAATACTTTCGAAGATTTATATTGCAATTACGTGTCAAAACGTGGCTGGTCTGCATGGTTTGTATCACAGCCATACCAGGAATTCGGAAATATGTTGAAGTAATGACTTTGTATAGTAAATATTTGACATACTGTAATTAAAAATGAATTTTAACTCGTCAAGAACTGCAATTATTCGTAACTTTCATAAAAAATGTGCTAAGCAAGCAGATTACTTTGCAATAAATGGTCGCGTGAGTCAAATTTTAGACTATTTGTAATTTCAAAATGTTTTTCTTTGACGAAATATATAATTTTTTTTTTTACTTTTTAGAGATTTATATCACCTTCGCGTATTTTACACCAAGATTCTATCAAAAATGAAAGGGAGAAGGTTAATTTTCCAGGAGCTACAGAAAGTTATTTTACTAATAAAATGCAATTCATTCATAGTAACGATCCTATACCAACATACCGTGTAATGGATAGGCAAGGGAAAGAAACTGAGCCATTACATGAACCGCAGGTTTATTCACATAATTGTTAATAAATAAATTTAATCGTAGTTATTAACAATCTTTTTGTTTTCTTATAGGTAACGGAAGAATTTGCGGTAAAAATATATAAAGACATGATCACGTTAAATATATTAGACTTGATTCTATATGAAGCTCAACGACAAGGTCGCATTAGCTTTTATATGACAAATTATGGTGAAGAGGCTTATATTGCTAGTGCGGCTGGATTAGATAGTGAAGACGTGATATTTGGACAATATCGTGAATCTGGAGTCTTATTGTATCGAGGTTTCACATTGGATGAATTTATGAATCAATGTTATAGCAATGAAAAGGATTTAGGCAAAGGGAGACAAATGCCTGTACATTATGGATCTAAAAAATTAAATTTTCAAACCATTTCTTCCCCACTTGCAACACAAATTCCTCAAGCATCCGGCGCGGCTTATGCTCTTAAAAGGGCAGGGCAAAAAAATTGTGTGATGTGTTATTTCGGTGAAGGTGCAGCTAGTGAAGGAGACTTTCATGCTGCGTTAAATATCGCGGCTACTATGAAATGTCCCGTTATATTCTTTTGGTAAGTCTCCTTGAAAGATTGTTAGTTACTAGAATAAATTTCGACATTTAATAAAAATTTTCGTTGTGACAGTCGAAATAATGGCTTTGCAATTTCGACACCAGCACTTGAGCAATATAAAGGTGATGGTATTGCTAGTCGAGGAATTGGCTACGGAATAGATACGATACGGGTCGATGGGAACGATGTGTGGGCCATTTATAAGGTTACCAAAGCTGCGCGAAAATTAGCAGTTGAGGAAAATCGACCAACTTTAATTGAAGCAATGACATATAGAATTGGACATCACAGCACTTCAGATGACTCATCAGCATATCGCTCTAAAAAAGAAGTTGAAGATTGGAAAATACTTGATAACCCAATTGTAAGATTTCGAAAATGGTTAGAAGATAAGGTAAATTAAAGGTTTTATGAAATTTATTTTATTTTGCGTATTTTTTCATGAATATTTCTATTTTTAGAATTGGTGGAATGAAAAGGTTGAGAGTGAATTTCGAACTTTGATTCGGAAGGAGATTTTGAACTCGTTTTCTAAAGCGGAAAAACATCAAAAACCATCAATAACTGAACTTTTTAATGATGTATATGATCATCCAACACCAAATATCATGGTTCAAAGACAAAAATTGAAACAATTGATTGAAAAATATCCCAAAAACTACCCTTTAGAAAATTTCAAAAATGAGGGTAAAGATTTGTGAGAATTGACCAATTTATTAATTATTAAGAAGTAATTTATATTTAAATATATGACAGAATAAATAGATTTTTTAATATATATTTTCCTAAATAAAAAAAAAACAAATTTGATAATTTAAGGATTTTTTAGGACCTTTACATAGAATACATCGTCATTTAAATCACGATGCTTTAAAATAGTTTTTATTTGCCATAAACAATTGTTATTTGTTTAATTCATTTAATTGATGCACTGAAGAAGGATAGAAAGAGTTTAATGTAAAACATTTTTTAAAACATTTTGATGTCATATTAAATTCTTGATATCATGCCGATTATTTCTCGTTTTGATTTTTTATTTTGGTAAATGAATCAAAAAAAACGTCTCAGCCTTTTTTTGGAAAACGAGAAATATTCCGTTTTATAAGAGCGTACTTTTTCTTTTGCTTTTAGCTATGCTATGCTCATAGGAGGACATTCATATGATTGGTCAGATAGGTTACACAAATTTTACTATAATTTTTATATATAATCACATGA